TACCTGCTAGAAATACTAAAAATAAAATGTATGAAAAACAAAAAATTTTTGAAACTAATTCTGTAGTTAAACAGATCATTGTTGTTTGAATTAATAAAATTAATCCTATCGCTAAAGGATGTTTTATATTTATAAAAATAAAGTTGAATATAAATAAAAGAGAATAGAGAATTAATAGAAAAATTTCAACAAGTAGTTTAATTAAAATATTAATTTTGGAGATTAATGATAAAGAAGTTTTTTTTACTTATTATTTTTTATTTCTTTTTATTTTTACTTATGTTTCACAATTTCCGACAAATTGACAATAAGTGAGAGTAATTCAAAAAAATTTCACAACATCTGAGAGTAAGCGTCTATATTTCATAACTTCTGAGAGTAAGCGTCTAAATTACGTAACATCTGAGAGTAAGCGTCTATATTCCATAACATCTGAGAGTAAGCGTCCGTATTTGTTTACAATTGAGAATAATTGTAAAAGTAAAAGTCAGAGAATGTGTACTAGTTGGATTAGAAAGGAAAACAGCTGTAAAATGTATAGAAATAAAGCGCGAGAAAATGTGTGCCAGTTGAACTTGCCTAAATTGTAAGCTAAACAATAAACAACAAGAATTTTTCCTAAAAGCGATTTTAGTTTATTTATTAGCTATGACTAGCTAAAAGGCAAAAACCTTGAGTTCTTTTTTCGGGATCTGAAACACAAGGAGTTTATTAACGTTAACATACGCTTGTATAAATATATCCTATCAATAGTATAATTATACCTTATCTTTCCGTAGGGAAACATGTTAAAAGTTCCTTTATAAACATGTTGCAATCCGTTGAGCAGCATGCCTACTAGCTCATATGCTCATATATTCCTTTGGTCTACCTACCGGCCGCAAACTTGATGATACTTTGTTCAAATTGTGTGCACTCACGTGACACATTTTGCCACAAGACCGAGCTCTATTGAAAACGGTTGTAATCGGTTCACTTTTTCAATCTCTTCACATATAATGCTTTGTTTTTGAAAAAACGCTATATCAATAACTGTCTAAACGATGTACTGTAGGGTATTTGATGGTGCACCGTGACCCATTTTACCACCGCTTTTACAGTCTGTCTTATTGCTTTATGTATACAAAAGTTTACATTGATGTTTGATATTAACAGAGATGGGGTAATGAAATTTCTCAATATAGGATTAAGCCGTAGTATGAATTTTAACGTATATACTATGGTTTTTGGTTACCAATTTTCCGAGAAAATGTATGAAATTTTTTCTATTCAAAGAAATTTTATATTTGAGGGTTTCCATTGCAGAAATAAAGCGTGCCAGTTGCTTACGTTTTGCCACAAGGACGAATTCTATTGAAAACGTTTGTAATCGGTCCACTTTTTCAATCTACATAAGTGCTAGCAGTTGATTTTCTACTGATTATACTTGAATCCCCAATCGTATGCTATAATATTTAAAACAATAAAAACTGTTCATTTTGCTACAATACTTAGCTATTTTGTAGCCAATCGTATGACACTGAATAGATTTCTAAAATTTTTTAGCTTAATTAAGAAGAAACACATAGGGAAACTCTATGTTTCTCAAGTGACAATGACGCTAACGATAGATTGCTTATCTATTTTCATAAAGAGGCAGAGACATAAGTGGGTTCTAACGGTCTGTTTTTGTCGTAAATGTAGTAATAACGGCGTCCCATTATGCAAAATCGCATGATCACAAAATTGCCGTTATGCACAAAGAGATCAGGCGAGAGAAAAATGAGGCAATTTGAGAGAAGAGAGCGAAAAAATTATGCTTGGGTTTTCGGTGGTTGTTTTTTGGCTTCGAGGAGGGATTTTATGTCTTGTCTCGGAGGGTCAGCAAAAATATTCTGTGTGGTGTACATCATTAATTCTTTAACTTTTGATATATTTTGTTTTACTTAGTTATTTTTGTTAATTTTTGTTTTACAAAAATTTTTTTACTGTTGGGGAATATAGCTGTTGTGCTTAAAAAACGAAATTCTTTAACTGCATAAATCACCTAATGTTATTTTAAAATTAGAAACAAAGCAAAAAAAAAAAGAAAAATAACTATAATTTTAAATATATAAATTATAAGTCAATGAGATTGGAAAAAAAAAATATTGAGAAATGAACAACAAAATCTTCCAAGAAAACCTAAAAATAAGAACAAAACTGTCTATGTATATAAGCTAATATTGTCTGTGCCCTGTGAACGAAATAAAAATCAGAAAAAAGTCATTCTATTGCAATTGTTGTTATAAACCAGGACAATTTTGTTTTAAATCCATAATTATGCGCAATAAAAATAAGAAAAGAAAGGAAGGAAAACGAAAGAAATGGTTGATATATGTGTTTGCAGTAAACACAATTCGAATTTCAACACAGTTACTAACAATAGCGGCAGCGTTGGTCATTCCACCAGTAATGAAACAAACAATCCTCCCAAAGTTGCGGTTCCCACACCTAAACTGAGTTCCAAATCCGAGCATCTAACGGCTGGTAGCACCTCAACTAACACAACACCAATCTTCGGCAGTTTTGATGGCCATATTGTGGGTATTCCGCTCGCATCCGCTTTCTGCAAAATCTCAGCAACTGGAGCAACCATCGGATGTCTCCCCCGAAGAAGTCACATCTGTTTTGGGAAACTTCCGCTCTCACCAGTCAGGTATTATTGTACGTTATTCAAATACCAGCAATGGTGAGTACCCAGTGTAGTTAGTATTGGTTGGCCGATGAATTTAGAGTAAGAATGAGTGTTTAAGTAGAATACACCACAACTGTAGCGAGGGCATGGTCAGGTGTACGCGCGAGTAGGGGTAGGGGGACTGGGAACACTGACGGACGGACTAAAACCGAACCAACGTGCAGTGCAGATAACAGACCTCATAAATGGGCTTACACCGTTTTTCCTGGAACAAATCTTTTTTAATTTGCATTTTCCTTTTTTAGTTTTTTTTCATTGTCATGCGGCCCAGCATACCAGGTCAAATAAATTAACCGCTCTACTGAAAGCTGAGCTAGGCCCGTGACAGTTTATCCCTATCTAAAATTGATGAGATCTCTTATGTTGGAAAATGGAATTTTTAAAAATTATTTTACTTATAATATATCGAAAATTAACTTTTTCTTTTCTTTTCGAATCGAGGATTGTTAATAATAAATAAAAAAAAAAGAAGAAAATTTATTATAAATTGTTCTTGTTAACGTTTAGTCAATATATATTTGTTTATTATTTTTTTCCTCAACTCCATAGTATAGGCAATAATTATTCTTCGATTTGTTTTTCATAAATATTCCCGCCCATAAATATCTCAAACCTTAAATGTCTTTCTTTTAAATACACCAAAAAGAAGTAAGTGAATTATTTTTATTAAATAATCAAGTGATGTTGCGGAAAATATATACACCAGGCGGACTAGTCACTTTGTTTATTTTATTTTATTTGGCAATATTGGCTCATCGAGATTGAAGGAAAAGGAACCTTCTGAGACATAGAAGGATGTTGCGGGACGCTTCAAACCGGCTTACGTTACCCGAAAATTTATGAGAAAATGATATTATATATTTGTCAACAATGCAAATTAACATATACATATTGTTGTATGTGGAATTTTGTAAAAGTTTTGAATATTTTCAATGCATTTTGCAATGAAAAATTTCTTGGATGAGTAGATGAAAGCCACATTGATTTGCGTAAGTCTGCACAAAATGAAGACTATTTCATAAACCCAAAAGGCAAGCATAAATGGGTTGTGAGTTACTCCACATACACGTTAGGTGTGCAACCCCAGAAAAATTATCTGAAAAAACTTATTTCCTGTATCAAAGCAAACATATTTTGACGATAGTGTCGACGTTTCGCAAGACGCCTCCCAAATAAGGCGAATAAGTGAGGAAATAAGAACCAGCATATCTTCCGCGCTTTTAAATTGAATTGTATTGAAAGAGAAGATATAAAAAATAAATCCGCTGTACGTGCCTTGTGGGAATTGAAAAGTTGGCTTCAACTTATATAATACAAAACTGGAATTCTACAATTCATTTTCAAACATTATGTATTCTTTTTATTGTATTACGTAAAATAAATAAATATATATTAAAATTCAAAATTCAAGTTCACAGTTTCCTTAAGAAATGAAAATATGAAATTATGTGAATTATAAGAAAGTAATTCACTTCACCTGTCTCAAATGTCTCTAAAAATTACCAAAAACCTGTGCAAGTGTCTCTCAAAATTACCAAAAACCAATTGGCATGAGTCTGAAAATGAACAAATGCATATGTTTTTAAGAAAAGTGGACAAAAACTCAGAAAAATTCTCCCTCAAAATTTTTATTTTGTTTTTACATGAAACATCTGTAGCATAATTCTCTGTTTGAATAAAATTGCTTTATTGTATACAAAAACCAAATATAACGAAAATTTAAAATTTAAAAAATATCAATTTATTTTTTATTTAAATGCAATTGGAAGAATTATCCATATTAACCGATGATTGGTTTAGTCCATCTCCATTCACCATACCAAAAAAAAAAAATATTAATCGATGATAAAACCGGACAAAAATAATATCCGCAAGCGAATTATAAATCAAGTATTTCTTTTTTTATTAATCCGTTACGCTAAGCATGAAAATAATATTCTGTCGTGATCGAATCTTTTGTACCATTAACTTCAAAAAATGAAAAGAACCAGATTTTTATACTTTATTTTCTGCGCCAGAATCAGATTTCTATATACTACACTCATTTTTTCTCTCTTTAGAATAAAAGTGAGATATATGTTCTACTTTATGAGTAACAAGCAAGAAATACGGAGTGCGAAGTTGTTCATAATTTTGTTGCATAGGCGTGTGGGCGCTGTAGGCGTGTATTTTGACCGATTGGGATCATATTTTGGATTCTTTTGCGAATTTGTAGGCGACATCACCATTTTCCTCCATTTCACGTTGTGTTAAGACCGATACCTCTTAAATGTAGTAGTAGTTCACGAAGAGCACCGAGTTATAAATATTTCGGACTCTAAGGGAATAACAACATGGTAAATAGCATATAACCACCACAACCATACAAAAATTAAGAACGTAATGTCAGAGAAGTTCAAACACTCGCCCGTATATTTTGAGACACCAAGGCGTTGCAAGACTCTCACAAGCATTTTCTCTTTCGTGAATTTCATAACTGAACAAACTTGTTTTATAAAAAAATTATTTATATTGTGTCACGTGTAGTCGTTCAGTCAATCGTCGGGAAAAGATAAAAAATCGGCAAAGCGCAACAACAACATTCAGTTATTAGAAAAACATGAGGGTTAGCAATTTGTTTTATAAAGTGAAGCTTCCAATAATCCAGACTTTTTCGAAGCAAAAAAAATATGAAAGAACCCTATTGTAAATGTAAATAAAAATTTGAGTATAAGTCGCACGCCTAGTTAAGCGGATATCTGCCTTAGTGGCCGAATAGGCAAAGGATGTCGACTAACAGCTCCAATGTAGGAGGGTTTTCAATAAAACCGAGAGCGTTCGGTGCTAGTGTTTAAGACCTTAGTCCCAGAGTTTATTTCTCTAAACTACTAATACAATGACAATTAAAGGGATAAGCATTCGTGGTTAAGTTAACAAATTCTATTAGAGTCGCAGGCTTTATTAAATGATATGAAATCTATCGTATAAAAAATAAATGTCATCACTATTTAGTAAGCGCATTTGCTGACGTCATATTTAAATTAATTGTTAATTTATAATGCTTCGAATGATTTTCTTTTACATTTAACATGTACATTAAGAGACCACGGTTTCTATGAATGATCGTTGGATATGTAATCAATACTTTGATGTTGTTACATTTGCACAACATAATTCTACTGAAAAATGAAGAATAGCGATAATGCTTTAATTTGCAAGCCGTTGCACGTTTTCGCCAGTCAATTTCTTCCTTATGTTACAAAAGGAATAATAGAGACTTTAAGCACTCTAATATATAAATATATTTTAAACAACTACTTTATGAAATATGTATATATATCGATTCACATTTCTTACCCTCACCACATACGTAGCAAAAATTAATATACACTTTGCTCTAATCAATGGAAGCGTCAATTGTCATGTGCACTCTGTTGGATTGTCATAATGTACTAACTCTGCGGATGAATATATTCTAAAATTATATGTTATTTAATCAAGAGTTATTGAAAAAATGCTACACATTTGCTGAAAGCTATTTTTATTATAACGACCTTAAGTATGTGCAACCATTTTTCTTATTAACACTCGGATATTTCATTCGGGATCTGTGGGCAATTTGAAACCAACCATGTCAGCAGTCTCCTTTACACTACGTTCGCCTCTTCCGCGGTACTCTTTATGCAACTCATTATATTTTCTAACGCTGGACAAATAAGTGAGGTAAGTTTGACCCAAGAATAAGGCTTCATCACGTGCTTTGCATAATTGCTGATCAGTCGTACAAAATTTTTTATATTGAGCTAAAATATAATGTGCAGCCAGTGAATCTTTAATACAAGCACACGGATTGGCAAACCGTAATTCTTGTAGAAGAGTGCGTAGAGCTTTAGTGGCTGCCATCCTTGGAGAAAGAATTTATTAATAAATGTTAAAAATCTTGAAGAAATTTTCCTTACGTATTTATACAGCGCTGCAAAATTTCGTACCAGCTGCAAATGTGGGGAGAAAGGAAAAACAAACTACTTCCCATCATAAACCAATTTAAGTATCTAACATTCTTTAATAAAAATTTATTCATATAAATTAAGCAAGCTACATCGCTACATCTATCTCCATCTTCACATCCTGTTCATCTTTGTCAATGCTCAACTCTAAAATAGCATCTTCATCTACTGATAATGATTCTTTAGTACTTTTATTATCGTAATCATCTTTTATGTCCAAATCCTGCTTTATTTCTCTTTCCAAAAATCCCCGATGTCGTCCTTTCCTTGACTGTGAGCCAGCCTCCATTTCATCGTCACTTAAGCCTTCTATAACAGCATTTGCAGCCGCTTTACCTACATTGATAGGAGAGCCTATTACTACTTCAGCGTCGTCACTTTTCCTATCTCCATCTTCACTTGAGCTATCATCAGCCAACTGAGTTTCCAGTTCACGTATGGCATACATAAGTACACTGAAATCCTTTTGCCGTTTTTCGAACTTACGTTCCAGTTTTAACTTCTTCTCTGTTAACTCTGTTAGTTCTTTTTGTAAAACTTCAATTTGTTTTTCAGTTTCTTTGCGATCGGGTTGTTGTTTGATTACTTTAGCCAATTGATCGTACTCCATCTTGTTCTTACGTATCTGTTTGGCTATAATCAATTCCTTTTTGCTTTCTTCTATTTCGTGTTTAGCGGAATATATATTTTTCTCTATAGTTTGTGATAACTTCTGGTAATTTTCCAGCTCTTCGTTTATCATTAAACCAGTACGTTCAGTTTTGGCGGATGCAAACTGGCATTGAGCTAATTGAGCCATTAAGCGATCATATATAATTTGGCTGAAATGAACAAACGTATTAATAGACCTTACGAAGCTGAGATCAACGAAACTTAACATACTTATTTTCAGCTGAATCGCTTTTGGAATACATCCACTTTAGGAATTGCTTAAGCAACATATTAAGTCGACGGTCGTCACCTGTTCCGTCGCCATCAATCAATAATCGCTTTTTGATTATATCCTCTGCAAATATTTTTAATGTATATATGAATTCACACAAAGAAACTCGCATAGTAAATTTTTACAGACCATCCGACATTTGTGCGTAAATTTTTAATCAAAGATATTTTGTGGTCTTCTTCTTATTTTTCTGCAAATCAGAAGAGATTCGGTTGTACAAGAAACGTTCAACGTAAACACGAAGTTCTTTGTTTAAACCTTAACAAAGGTATTTAAATAAATAATTTCTCTTATTTAAATTATATGCTGAAGTTAGTTGTGTTTTCTCCAACGACAAAAAAAGTCATTTTAAATGAAAATTATAAGCGTGAAATTACAAATGGCGGTACTGTTACGATATTGCTATTTACTCGCTTAAGGGCTGTCACAATGAGACGTTATTCCTACTTTCGAGTTGGAGCTTTAACTTTTGCGTCTTTTTACAAAACTTTATGGGAATTGACAAATTATATCATATTGCATGAGAATACATACAAATAAAACAAAAATAAAACAACGCACAAGAAATAGAGGCAATTTATTTTAAATTCAAAAATCATTTATCTAATCGTTGTTCATATTAAAGTAATGTATATTTTTTTAATATAATTTAATTTGCCAAATTGGTTTATGCGATGCATTATTTTGTAAGAAATAAAAAACAAGCAATAAAGATTTTAAAGTTGAAACATATTCATAAACCTGTTTTGTAGACAGTGATCAAGGATACGTTCCAAATTATGGATCAGCACAAAAATACAAAATTATATCTAACGTATGTCTAATCAAGTTTTTTCAGAAATTAATCATTCTTTAATTAATAAACAAGCTTACTTGCTTTTATATTAACTTCCTTATTGTTTTTTTTAATACGTTGTTTACGTTTAGGTTTTTATTTTTGGTTCCAAAACATATGCTTTTGTTTACATATTTCTGTGAAGCAGTATGATAGCGGGGTTGCCGAATGTGCGTACCACTTGGGAGGTTTATGCCGAAGGCGAGAAAGACGATTCAATGTGTTAAACCCTTATCAGGCCGTAAAAAAAACGTAAAAAGAGGTAAACCTAAATCAGCAACCTAAAGTTTGGAAAGTGAAACTAATAACAGAAGCAGACCTATTTTTACCAATTTTTTGCTTACATCATCACATACCATTGCTATGAGTTATAAAGAACAAAGAACTGACAAATAATAGAACCGCGGCTGGGTTGGTATCATCGTCAATAGACCTGATCCATTTATGTAAAACAAGCAAAAAAAAGATAAGAAATTATAAAATTAATGCACAGATTAAAATTTCAAATCATACATGAAAAAGATTTAAAATAATGTAATACAAAATAATTAAAATTTGAGAAACTGAAACATTTGAGATATCGTTCTGTCCACAAACACAGCACTATAGCATAACAGAAGGTAAGTTGATAAATTCGCCCACAACATTACTAACACATGACTACTAACAAAATAATTGCCAAAGACATTGGCATGCCTAGAAACGAAAAATGCTAGGAAAAAGGCATAGAGTTGAGAACAAAGCAACTGTAACTAAATTGGTGAATTGTTTAAAAGCTCCAACAATTTTCAGAAAGTTCATAAATTTATATGCTTATGTAATTACAAAGAATATATTCCTATACCGTGATTATTAACAGCAACTTGGTAGAAAATGATTGCAAAAAGGAGAAGAAAATAAAATCAATTACTGCAGATAGACAAAAATAATGTCCATTAATACTATCACGTTACAATTTTTATGCATCTTTGAACACAAAAGTGTTAAAAATACTAATATTATATACATAGAATTTTCATATTGCAATAACGTTACCACTATATTTTGTGTGAACACATGTATGTATAAATATAAACGATACGCTCTTTACTTGAATATATGCAAGCAAATTATATAATCTGTGTATTTGCATAGGCATTAACATATTAATTACCGAATACTCCATACTCCGTAAAGAAATATGATCCCAGTGATGAACAGATTTCACCACTCTTTGATCAAAGTTTCGACGACATGTATTTGTCGGTTAAGAAGTGGAAAGAATTGGTCTTCTCAGAAGTTTTAACTTTTAAATCAGTACAGCAATCTTGATTTATTACAAATAATAAGTTTACGAACGCTCTAAGAAATTTTTTTCGAAATATCGTTCCGCTTCAAAGACGTAGCAAATTCGCATTTTACAGAATTGTTTCCGTTTTTTTCCACCGTTTATTCTCATTTAACAAAAATGATTCCGTTTTTGAGAATTAATTTTTCCATCACTTATTCTCATTTAACAGTCACAAAATTTACTTATTGAAAACAACTCTGCTCTCCCTCTATTCACAACACATGGTATTTTTTTTATAAATCATGAAAAGGAAAAAACCAGATAACGGCTTTCTGTGAAACCAAAGGAATTTGGCGAGCGCAAAAAGAAGTGATTCCAATGGAAAAATTAAACAAAATCTATCACTAAAATTAGATAAAAAAATAAAAATATATAGGTTTTTTATATGTATACCAAATTAGTTTTGTTTATTAAAGTTGTTAAATATATCTCGAATTTTGTTTATTGTATTGTAATATATCTAACAAAGAAAATAAGTACATTAACTGGTAAATGCGTTTTCTATTATTTACAATTTTATTTGGTAGCAAGGAGACCCATCTGAGATTCGTATTGTTTTTCTGGAAATCTCTATCGTGTCTCTAGTTGCTAGCAATGAAATAGATGAAAGATGAAATATATTTCATATATACAAGTCGACTTGTGTTCACTGTAGTGCGTGTTTTCTTTTCGTCTGTGTTTTTTCAATTGTTTCGGTGTTTTCGGTGTTTTTGTGTATTTAACTTCTGTCTTTTCAGTGTTATTGCTAAAACTGGTTAACGCGGATATCGCGTATGTGCTTTTGTTTCGTCTATATATAATAAAAAATAGAAAACAAAAAAACAAAATAAAAAAAATTGAAAACATTTGACACTTTTCTTTAGTAGTTCCCAACCTTCTTCCACAGTTCCCAAACCTTTTAAAGTGAGTGGTTATTTCACAAATAATAAGCAGTAGACAACAATAAGGCATAATGGCCCCGGGGCCGCCAGACAAAAACTCGAATAGATTTTATCTATTAAGTGATACATCCCCCCAAAGAAAAAAAAGTAAAAATTCAGATTTTCCGGTGTTGCCGATCAGCGATATAACCCCTATTGGTAAAAAATATATTGTTATTTCTTCAACCGATGCTCGAATAACAATTTCTCAAATTAGCCCTTTTGCTATAAAAAAGGCTCTAGATAGCATTACAACATACATCGACTCCATCTCGATTCTACGCGATGGGAATTTACTGGTCCTCGCTGGGAACCCGCGCGCAACCGAAAAACTCATAAAGGCCAAATCTTTAGCTAATCTATGTGCTATTTCAGCTAAACTACATGAGAAACTTAACTCGGTTCGAGGCGTAATTTATGCCCCTTGCTTAAAGCATGTGCCGGAAGGTGAAATTGTTCGCGAAATGGACATTCAAGGAGTGACTGAAGTGTATAAATTAACCAAACTGAATGATGACGGAAAAACACGCTCTCCTACAGAAAGGATTATTTTAACTTTTGATCGCTATCGATTACCGCGAACAGTTGATGTGGCGTGGTATAAATGTAAAGTAGAACTATACATCCCAAATCCTATGAGGTGTAAAATTTGCCAACGCCTGGGTCATACGGCA